GCCAATCTACTATGGCTTGAATATTTTTAGGATCCACTCTAATGCCTTCTGCCGACACTATATGACCGAGAAAAGAAATCTTAGATAACCAAAATTCGCATTTGGACAATTTGGCATATAACTTCTTATCACGAAGTATCTGACGGACTAATCGAAGATGAGTATCATGATCTTCCTTTGATTTGGAAAAAGCCAAGATATCGTCTATAAACACTACTACAAATTGATCCAAAAATGGTTGAAACAATGTATTCATTAAGTCCATAAATACTGCAGGAGCATTCGTCAATCCAAACGGTATTACCACAAATTCATAATGTCCGTACCGAGTCCGAAAAGTCATCTTGGAGATATACTCTCTTTCAATCTTTAACTGATGATATTCTGGTCTTAGATCTATCTTTGAGAATACTGATGCACCTTTTATTTGATCAAACAAGTCATCAATCCTTGGAAGAGGATACTTATTCTTTATCGTCACATTGTTTAATTGACAATAGTCAATACATAACTTCATAGAACCATCTTTCTTTTTCACAAATAACACTGGTGCTCCCCAAGGAGAAACACTGGGTCTGATGAATCCCTTATCCAGCAACTCCTGCAATTGTGCTTTTAATTCCTTTAACTCTGTTGGAGCCATTCTATACGGAGCCATAGAAATAGGTTCAGTACCTGGATAAACTTCTATTCTAAATTCCACTTCGCGATCTGGAGGTAAACCCGGCAACTCTTCCGGAAATACCTCTGGAAATTCCTTAACTGTAGAAATATCCTTTAACATCACTTTCGGTATTCGAGTATCTACCACATTATCTAGAAAAGCTACAAAACCTTTTTCTATTATTTTCTTAGCTGTCATGGCTGATATCACACGAGAGGGTGATTTCGCTTTTTCAGCAATCACTACCATTTCGGAGCCTTTTGCATCCTTCAAAAATAATCGCTTCTTACGAAAATCCACCCATCCATGATGCAAAAACAACCAATCCATGCCCAGAATAATTTCAAATTCATTAAAAGGCAACTCCATTAAGTTTGCTAAGAATACAACCCCTTGAATCTTAATTGGACATTTTCTACATACTCGAGTTACCTGTGTACTATTCCCCAGAGGGTTTACTGCTATCATTTCACTATAGATTGGTTCTAAAGGAATTTCTCTAGTTTTAATCAACCTGGTACTAATATATGAGTGTGTTGAACCAGGGTCAACTAGAACAAAAACAGGATCATCGAAAAGATGAAATGTACCTGTTATAATCTCTAGATCATCCCGATCATCTTTAGTCTTTATATTATATACTCGAGCCACTCCCCGAGTTTCTTGTCTCTGGCTAGCCTCAGATTGACCGCCTGATTTTCCTCTCCCTCTGCTTCTATTAGGTGTTGCCACAGATCTCTCAGACTGTACGGATTTATCACCATATTCACCATAATTGAAACAAGTACCAGAAAGTAACTTACATGCTCCCCCGTGTGACTTGCCACACGTCTGACATAAAGGTTTCTCTCTATGAGATCCTCTTGAGCTAACAACATAGGAATGAGACTGCTTAGTTTTCTGTGAAGCTGTAGAATAATTAGTTCTATTTGTGAATTGAGAACCTGAGCCCTTGCCCCTTTTTTCATATTGTGCAAATGAAGACGTTTCGATTCTTTTTCCCGTCGAAATACTCTGATTTGTTGCTAACGTCTCCTCTTGAGCTCTTTCAATGACCTTTGCTATGTTTATAACCTCTTATAAACTGGACAAGTTTAAGGCCTACATCATTTCTTTCAACTTAGGCCTCAAGCCCTCAATAAACCAATCCCGACGAGTTTTTTCATTACGTACTACCTCGGTAGCATATCGGATAAGTTTGTTATATTCAGCTTCATACTCATGCACTGCTCAATCGCCTTGTTTCAAGTTTAGAAATTTTAACAACATCAATCTCATAAACTGCTCCCTAATATACTTGTTTTTAAATTCGTCCAGAAAGAACTGCCAGTTCACTTGTTCGGGCGATGCATACATCGTCGTGTTTGTCCACCATACTCGAGCTGATCCTCTGAGTAATGATACTGCTCCACCCAACTTTTCATGATCGGAGCACTGTAGACTCTCCAACATCACCTTAACATCATTCAACCATAAGTCTGCGTCCATCGGACCTTCGCTTTCTTCTCCTTTAACCCTGAGGTACTGGTGCACTAGCATTCTCCGATGGAATCGGATGTTCACTATTCTCTTCATAACTTTCACTACCCGATCCATCTCTATTCTCTAGTCCAACCGCCCTTCTCGAACTCATAGAGTCCAATAAATGTAACACCTATAACCCGTATAATTATACCTATACAAATTATAGATGTCACTCGAATTTTAAAACCACTTTCTTTTCTAAAACGATTCAAAATTTACTTTCTTAAAATAATAATTTAATTCAAAAGATTTTTTATAAATAGTGATGAACAATACCGTGAACAGTGCATCGCTAAACTACAATAATTTCAGTAAATATGCATAAAACTCATAAAAATTTAACCGTGCATCACTATACAACTACCATTTACATAAATACGTTTAAATTCATTTAAAACAAGATTATTAAAATCTATTACATGCCGACTAAAATATAACTAAAACAGTTCATTATGTCATACGGTTACTGATGAGACGACCTTGACTGAATATCCAAATATCTCTTTACAAGCTATATTCAACCTACGCGTGAAATAAACACACGTTAAGTATTACTTAGTGAGGCATAAATAATCACGAATAACATTTCTACATAAAAATTATCTTTCGATATTTAATCTCCAAGGAATCTTTATTTCCAATGAATATACTATAATCTGCATTACTGATGCCATTAACTCATTTATCAATCATTATTAGAATCAATACATTCCATAGGAAATTCATACAATTCATGTAATTTCCTTTTAATATTAGCACTAACAGTGCTCCATTAGGAAAATCATACACTTAGTATGTTTCCCTTTTCATTTTACCACACAAAGTGCCCTATTCGAAAATCCATACTATTAGTATGATTTTATTACCATTTTAGCACATAATATGCCCTATCTGGAAATCCATATTTTCAATATGATTTATTTATCAGTTAGCACCCTTAGTGCCTTATCTGGAAACCCATACACTCAGTATGATTCCCTTACCATTTTAGCACATAATATGCCCTATCTGGAAATCCATAATTTCAATATGATTTCCTTATCATTTGGCACACTCAGTGCTCCATATGGAAATCTATACACTCAGTATGATTTACTTAACATTTTAGCAAACAAAGTGCCATTCGGTAATCACTATACATATATCAATAGATTATGTTATTTTAACTATTATCACATGTACGTGCATAATTAAATGCACTCATCTGGTTCGTCTTGCTATTATTTCCAATACGCAATTCCGATTACTCAACTACTTTGTCTTTGCCTTTCGTTTTGCTAGACTCGGGAGCTTGATTTCGATCTACTCAAGCAACCATTAAAGACACATTCAATATCACTTATTAGTATATTAGAAATCTTTAATTTCTTAAACTAAAAGAAAGGCTATTTTCATTCCTTTATTTGATGTATGCATCGGTACATTTTATAGTGTATCGATGCATCCTCTCACTGGTGCATTGGTACACAACCTATGCATCGATGCACTATATGCATTCGATGTTTCATCTTAAGGGAGTGCATCGATACACTACATGTGCATCGATACACTCAGTGCATTCGATGTTTATTTAATTAGGTGTGCATCGGTGCACTACTTATGCATCGATGCACCTTGCCCAGAATTTACATTTTGAGCATGAAATTCACTTCATTCCAGCTTAAATGTTCCATATTTCAACCCCTTTAATACTCTTAACTCAAATACCTTCATTTAAACTCATTTATGCGCATTTACCACATCCTTAACCTCAAAATCTTATATTCTTCATGAGATTCAAGAATCATACCCAATTTTTAACATGTTCTATATCAAATTCTAACACTTCATATTTCTTAATTAACTTGATGTCAAGTCAAATCTACCATAAAACATCCATAAACCTTCATATTTCATCATGTCACTCAAAAACCCATTATCTTTAATCTCTAATATCTCATCAATAACTTAGTTTTAATCTCATTTAAATCTCCTTTAGCTTCCATAGTATACAAAGCTTCAATCCCCATCAAAAATCAAAGGAAATAACCATTAAATCGAAAACTTACCTTTAAGCTTAAGGGGAGAGTTTTCCACGGCAAGAAGAGAAGAAGATGAAAGGGTTGACTTCCTATTCCCCTCTTCATCTTATCCCTTATCTTAATTCCCCACTAATTGAATATTAAATTCAATTTAATCAAAATGACCAAAATATCCTTTTAATCATCCTCTCTTACAATTTAGTCTAAGCTATTGATCCTATTCATCCTCATCTTTCATTATTTAATTTAATTTAATAAATCCTCGTATTTTTAAATCTTTTCAATTTAATCCTTAAATAAATTTTTGGGGTATTACAGGAACCCTAAGGTTAAACCTAATTATCTTATTGTGGGATGAAGCCATTGAGTACAAAATTTTTGTCTAATGACAAGTTTAGTCTTATATATTTATTTGAAACTGATTAAATCAAATCTTGTATCTTTTAAATTTTGAATTAAATATTTATTAAATTCTTATTAATCTTAAAATTAGATAATTCAACTCTTTTCATTGTCTATTTTTGAATTTAGCAAAATGATAATAGCAAAAGACAGGAAAACCCCTTGTGCTGTCAGGTCGATTACAAAATTTAAAAACCACAAAATGGAGACCGGGCAGAAATTTCAGATTAGAATAGTAATAACAGTGACATTTAGGAACAAAACAATCACTTTATTCATGCAAAATTGAAGATGGAAGTTACTAGAGTAGAAAATATTTCACTGTATACAAAGATAGTAAAATTACCTCCAGATCTGAAGAGCCTGCTTCTGAATTGCCACTAAAATGAGTTACATGGCCATTGGAAGCTTTCATTTGCAACTTTTTTCCATGGGAAACAACCGAACTGAAAAAGAGTAACATATTGTCTTCACAAAACCATAAGAAACGAAAATAGAAAGCCAAGATTGCTTAGATAAAAGGGTAGTATATCTTTAAATATGCATAAGTTTTCATTTCATAATACCTAATGAAGTTATTCTCAGTTGAAAAAGTTTTCAGGAAGTCATCTTTGTTGTCCAAAAGAGTCTCACCAAAAATTTTCTATACAAAAAGGACATAAATCAGGAAAGCCACAAGATATCAGAGATTAAGCTGAAGTTAAACATGGGAAATAATGTATACCTCAAGAGCAGATTTCAGGTCTGTAATCCCTTTGCCCCCCTTAATAAACAACAGTTAAAATCATTAAAATACCATGTAAAGGGCAAACGAAATTGAATAAAAAATTCACTAGATGTGATGCATTAATTCGTGCACGTTTGACTCTGAATATCCAATAGATATTGATGCATAATGTTGAGGTGTGAACATAGTCATTATAAGCAAAAACAAAAACAGGTTTGAGCAAGTGTGAGAAGTGGATCCCTTAGGGATTAATTTTATCCAATATAGAGTTCACAGCTATGATTCTAAGGTGGACAATATATTTAATATATCTTCCGACTCCTCATCAGTGCATGGTAGAAGATTGTGATGATGGTGGTAATGTTAAGCCTTATGTAAATGCCATAGAAACAGTACCATCCAGTTCCTCGTCGTTGGTCGGTTTGAGTCCATTTGGTGCCGTAGTGAATCACCGCTTGATGTTTCTCCCAGCAGGCCTATTCTGTCTGGCCATAATGACAAGTTAGGCAGACATTATTCTGATGATATTGCCACTGGTATACCTAAAAGCAGGACTTCTGCTAAGAACATGAAAAAAGCTATCTCAAAGAAATTATTCAAAAAAAAAAACTACTATGATTAAATTCGAGAAGAGAAACCCTTCATATAATCACATTCACATTTTTAAAATTTTTCATAGCTAAATAAATTAGAAATACAACAAGAAAAGAAGTATATTGAACATTAATGTAGATGATATATCATGCTAGTCCAAGTCACAAGAAGCTAAAGAGAATCACAAATTATCCAAAGATTTCAAACAATAAACACTAAACTAATTAAAATGGAATTGGTTCAATACAATTCCTGCCAAATCACCACAATGCGAATCAAAATCAGATTAAAAGTCAACAAGTATATTATTTATAAAATCAGAACCTGAAACATTAGTATAAACAGTAATTGTATCATTTTTATTTTATTTATTATCATTTGCTAGTCAATATTAAGGCCTTCGTTTTGCTAGTCAATATTAAGGCCTTCGTTTTGCTAGTCAATATTCTTCCCATATACTTTCTCGGTAACCAAACAGAAGGAAAAAGAACTCACCGAAGCAAAAAGGAAAAGTGGAAAAACCAGAGAAGACGATCTGAGATTCCCATTCTGATGATAGTGTTGTCACATCATATTCCAACATTAGAGCAATTTTTTTATGTGATTTGGCAGATAATCTTTCCATATGAACTATTCATGGAGCTATACTCTTATGATGCATAGGAACTATGCTCATTTGGCCTTAATAATATTGGGAACAGGTTTGAAAGAGTGAATCGTTGTGGGAAAACCAAAAGCCAAAGCTTCATCACAAGCCTCTCGCCTAAGTCTATGCAAAAGGAGCATATGAAAAACTTGTTATCAACAGACCTAGCCGATTCTAGCCATCGATTGGTGAGACCATGAAATGGCTTCTTCTTGATCATTAACACGAGAGAACATGTACATTATCTTAAACTAAAACCATTCCGTGTTGGAAATTCTAGATTGTTGAAAATTCTAGATTTTCTAGATTGGCAGCCGGCTGATTTTCTTCATGCAAGTGGGGCGACTAGTGGTTCAAAGTGGGCAGCCAAAATTGTTGAATTTAAGAAATATGGATAATTACAATTTAGTCCCTACATAGTTTAGGGTATTTACAAGATCAGCCCTTAAGCTTCAACTATAAATACCCTAACCCATTTAGCTTCAAAATCATCCCCAAATCATTCTAGCTCTCTCTCAAGTATTTTTGTAAACACCTGTAAATTTTCTCCCTTTAGATCTGTAGTAGTCCGGAGACGTATGCATACTTGGCTGAACTTCGTTATCAATTTTGGGTATTATTTTTCTGTTTTTATTTCGCATTCTCACTAATCTGGTTATATGGAAGACCTTCTTGGAAGGACTTAGACCAGAGGCAATGCTCGGGGGAGAGCAAGGTGATGCCCAGAGACTTTCGGAGGCCATAGTTGTAGCCGAAAAGCTGACTGATCTTGCAAGTGTCAAGCCAAGTAGCGATGTGTCGTCCATACCCATACCCAGAGATAGTGGCAATAATGGGGGAGAACGAGAAAAGGTGCAACGGGGAAATGGTAATGGCCAATGTGAGCCATCGACTATTCGTAGCCAAGGAAAGCCATCGGGAAAGAATGTCAAGGCTAAGTCTGGTGTGAAGAAGAAGGGGAGCAAGGAAAAATTGAAGTGCTTCTTCTATGATGGTCCTCATTTGATTAGAGCATATCCCGAGAAGCGTCGCCTTATAACCATCATGAAGAGGATGGGAGAATGAGAAGTAGCGGGAATTGACGATGTTGCAAGTGTTAAAGCTGCCAAGCCAGGGAAAAGACTTGGTCCGATTGAGGGGATCAATGTGGCCAAGCAAGGAATAAGACATGGTGCGACTACAAGTTCTCAAGTAGTCAATCCAAGATTGAGACGTGACGAGACTGTGGGTTCAAAGCAGTCGAGCACAATAAGGGACCCGATGCGATAGAGATAGACAAAGTCGTCAAGCCGAGGGTGTAAAGTGAACAAGTTCGTTCACTATATGCCAGGATGGAGGCGTGGTCCAAGTTGAGGCGTCTCAATCATAAAAGGGACACTTAAGGAGTATGTGAGCCAATTTAGAAAACTCATGCTCAAAGTCCCAAGTTTGACAGAAGAAGATGGGTTCTTCACCTTCATGTTCTGATTGAAGCCATGGGCGAAGTAAGTGTTGGAGCGAAGGAAAGTCAAGGAGTTATCTAAAGCCTTGACAACCGTCGAGTCCATCAAAGAATTTGGAGTAAAAAAGAACAAGACTTCCAAAGCAAAGCCGAAAGTCGAGGGTAGCGAAAAGAGATTCACCATCCAAGGGAACTGAGGGCCCACGGTTGATCAGGTAAGCTGCAGTGTTGATAGCTTTAGCCCATAGCAATTTGGGCAAGTCGACATGTATCCTCATGCTTCTGGCACATTCATTCAGAGTTATGTTCATGCGCTATGCTACACCATTCTACTGTGGTGTCATGGGAACTGTTGTCTCTATCTTGATCCCATTATTTGTGCAGAAATCTCTGAATCTACTATTTCTGTACCCTCCTCCATTATCAGACCTCAACCGCTTGACTTTCAAACCAGTCTCATTTTCCACCATGACCTTCCATTTTCTGAAGGTATCAAAGACTTATGATTTCTTCTTCAAAAATAAACCCACACCTTCCTTGTAGAATCATCGATGAAGGTGATATAATATAGTGAGCCTGCAAGAGATGGAACTGGAGTTGTTCCCCATCTATTAATATGAACCAACTCTAACTTTTCTGCCTTGGGTGTCTTGCCAATCTTTGTAAAACTGACTTTCTTTTGTTTACCAAAGATGCAATCCTCGCATAGTCTGACATCTACACTCTTTAGATCCTGCAGCTTCCCTTTTGACAAAAGTGTCTTCATCCCTTTCTCGCTCAAATGGCCAAGCCTTTGGTGCCATAGGTTTGATTTTCCATCAGCATCTGCAACTACAATGATATTCTCTAAATTTGAGGTTACATAGAGAGTACTTGTAACACTCTCAACCCATACCCGACCCGGATACGAGTCCAGGATGTCACATTGACTATACAAAACAATACTCTAAAAAATGATAAAACATTTGAACTTATATTATAAAAATACAATAATATACATATGTTAATACAAGTTTATCAAAATACTCAGAGCATACACAACTTGACCCTTTGATTACATGCAACATTCATTTACATAACAAAAGGACCTACTGATTAAGTTGCCTCTGATCTGATAGTTGCAGGAGTAGTGTTGTCCAACTGCTTAACCGGTCTCGTCTACTTTCTCGGATCCTACGTGTGAAACACTCACACGCTAAGTCATCGACTTAGTGAGGCAATATAATAATAATAACAACAAAGAAATGTAATGAAAATGCTATAATAAAATGGAATGAGATAAAATTAAATACTTAACCATGCAGTTTACATCACCATGTTCCTTACCTGTAAGCATAGTACATTAACATTCATGAATTCATATTAATAAGATTATTGGCTCATAATACCATACTGAGAACTTAAGGTATGTGAGTACTATGAGGTTGTGCACTATGCTGTCACCACAGCTCGTATAAATGCACCGAAGTTCCACGTAGAATTACACCGTAGTGCCATATAAGATTGTCCCTAAGGACCACGTAGAAAATTCCTTAAGAATCATATACATATGCCAAGGATCAAGTATGTGTCTCAAAAGACCTCACACATATTCCAAAGAATACATATATGTCCCAAAGGACCGCGTAGACCCTCTACTCTTGGCATGCCAACTATACCTATAGTTCTCATCTACATAACATGGGCTTTTCCCAAATTACATAGTATATCACATAGACATATCATTTCATTACCTTCATCACATGGCTCATATAACTTTGCATACATATTCATTTAAAACATGTTACACAATGCTCATAGTATGGATTCATATCATGCTTTACAATATGAAATGAATCACGCATCAATGTATTGAATCTAAACTTATCACAAGTCTAGAAATGGATATATCGCTATAATCATGTTATGCATATGCACTCACCTATATTTCCTTAATTTTTCCTCGATCGATCTTACTAGGCAATTGTTCTGGAACTTGTTTAGGCTCTGTATCTACATAGTAATTCATTGATACTTATCAGTATACTAATTAATATATTCAAAACTATCATTTCTTTGGCTAAAAGAAAAGTCATTTATATCTTTTAATGAAGGTATGCATCGATGCACTACACTATGTATCGATGCATCCCTTGACGGGTGCCTCGATGCACTATCTATGCATTGATACATAAATTCTATTCGATGTTTGTATTTAAGGGGGTGCATTGATGCACTACTTGTGCATCGATACACTGATGGCATTCGATGTTTTTATTTTAAAAGAGTGCATCGGTGCACTTCATTTGCATTAACACACCTTGAACAATTTCTGGGATTTATCCTTGATGCATCTGTACACCTTGAATGTACATCGATACACATTGCCCAGAAATGTCATTTTAGCACGAAAATCTCTTCGTAATCTTC